CTAGAACACTTTACAATGTATAGACACGGTCATTCGTACTTTTTTGAGGTGTTTTTTGCGTACCTGAGCCTGAGTTGGCCTTGGAGCCCGCGTGGATAACGCTGACACGAAGTGATTTAGGCTTTTATCTGGTCCGTACCAACCCGTCTGGCCAGCGTGGTATAGTAGGCCAAAACCTCCTTTCTAAGGAGAGGCCTATGTCCAGCAGTGGACTGTTATAGGCTGTTGATGATGATCTGACCAGTTGTCATTTCGTCTAGTAAAAACATAACATATTGTAAACAATTACATATATTCGAAATCTGGTTCCAAGTTAAAACCATGAAGTAATAGTTCTGAATATTATATTTATTGAAAGAAAAAGAAAGGTACTTCTTTGTTTTTAATACACTACTTAGTCAAGTAAGATGCTACCTTTAATTTTTAACTGTTTTAACGGTAATGTACGAACCAGTTTAGTTTTGATAGATCATTAATTTTAACCTAGTAGATTAAAACCGACTAAGTACTTTTGTTGTATCATTTCTTTCAAGACATGTTTCAATGACGTCATTAAAACGTTTTATAGCACCTAAGCACTTGCCTAATTTGAAATAAAAACTCATTAAGTAGAGAAGCGGGAACAGTTTGGTGAGTGTCTGCGGTCGTGTCGTTGACTCGTCTGTAAATAAATAAATATGAATTCTCAATGTAACAAAAAAGAAAAATCCACGAATCCTAAACACACTTATATATCTGGGGTAAAGTCCTTTTATTTATTAAAAAATAACAAATGTGGGTGTTTTTTGTTGTTGTTAAATTTAACAAATTAAGTTACCAATTAGATCTCTCTCTTTATGTTTTATACATGTTATGTTTTGAATGGGATTTCTTGAAGTATGGAAAAGTTCTCAGAAATGATACCTCACTCTGATCATACGATGGAATCGAACCTGCTAAAAACGTTATGTGATGCATTGCTTCTTATGACGTTTATAAATTATCCACAGAATCTCTTCTTAACACATATTACTACTTCGAGATGGGCTCTAACACTACCGAGGGACTAAATCTTATTTATTACCCATTATTTATTGTTAATACCGTATGACGCACTCGATCGCTGGCGGCGGCTGACAGTCACGAGACTTTCGTACCGTGATGACGCTCGTTGAGTCTCGTACAACCGGCAGTCAGGTCGTAGGCAGCACACGCAAGATTACAGTAGTAGCAGTTTGGTGTCAATTTAAGTCAGTAAATAAATGGTGGAAATATTCTCCCCTATAACTTTTCTGACGTTTCGTCCCTTGGTAAGATAGCATGAAGCAATCCCCGTAATGTAAATTTACTTTTTCCTTTTAATTATTTTTTTATGAAAAAGCGGGCAGACGAGCAGACGGGTCACTTAATGGAAAGTGACTACTGTCGCTCATGAACGCCTGCTACTCAGGAGTCACCAACGCATTGCTGGCCTTTTAGGAAGGAGTAGGTACGCTCTTTTCTTGAAGGTTTGAAGGTCGTATCGGTCCAGAAATACTGCAGACGATAACTTGTTCCACAGATTAGTTGTGCGATGCAAGAAGTATTTTGAAAAGCGCACAGTGGTGGAGCGCCAATTATCGCAGTGTTGGGCATGAAAATTTTGCCGTGTGGAACGATGGCGGAAAGTTGCGGCCGGTATTAGTCCGAAAAAATCCTCGGAGTACTCGCCCTGATATATACGATAGAGAGTGCAGAGTGAAGGCTCATTTTCATTGGTCGTGAGATCCCACATTCGAAGTGCGAGAGATTTTTGTTCACGCATCCCATAGTGGCCGCATGCGGAAACCATTTTCATTAGTCGATGTGAGCCTGCATGCTGGGAGTCTGATTTTCTTCACTGCGTATTTATGCAGTTGTTTTTAAAACGCCTAACACCATTCGTAAACTGAATCCCCGCACCCCGTTTGCTTTACAACCGACCAATTTTATTGGGTTAGGCCGCGTGCGGGGAATACCGACTGAGATATCGATAGCGAACTTGCATTCGTCGTTATTCCGTATTCGGGGACTCCCCATATGCGGTATAACAACTGAGTTATCGACCAGTAAAAATGAGCCTTGAAGGTACATTTCTACGTAACGACAAGGGATCGAGCCTATCGGAGATGCGGTCCAGTAAATGTTATCATTAAGATCAACAAAAAGTAAAACAAGTATATAATGACAGTAATTTATTCTCTAAATATATAAAACAATTTGATTTATATTTACATTTTAAAAAATATATTTTTTTACGAGATGGACGATTTAATATGAAAGATACCGCCGCAGAGGATCTGTTAGTAACAAACTCGATGGCACATCGGACTAAAGAAAGAAATTTATGAATAACAAAGCAAAATGTGCAAAACATAAATTGGCAGTAGGTAAGTTGTGTTTCAGATTACACTTACCAACAAAATCTTACAAACTAGTTAAATTACTGAAATTATAATGCTAGTATAACAATTCATATAAAGATCGAAACGAGGATGTTTGATAGACTCAACTACTTATATAAAGCCTTGCGTTCGTGTTATATGAAGAGAACAAAGTGGGAGTAACACAAGAACTAAATTGTTAGATATGCCCTTATAATCCTAGTGTCCACTTTGAAATATTTGATCAACGAACAGACTTCAAGTAAGAATTTAAAGGAGGTGCATCTAACGATTTAATCCTAAGTTAACAGTCGTGTCCAACTCTAGGGTAACAGTCGCATCCAACCCATTAACATCATCAGACCAGTTCGAAATTTTTAACTATCATCAAACCTCCGTAACCTTGTTTATTTCCAGGCAATCATAATATAAATCAAATTCAATAATTAATGCTAAGTCGTGTGATTTTAACATTCCCGCTTAAAATTAATTTATAACTAAATATTAATAAAGTAAAATAATCTATCGAGATTTAATTTATAAGAAAATAATTGCATTATTTATATAATGATAGAAGATTGATGATTGTACTTATTGTGTACGGTGTGTGACATAAACATTTAACAAACTTATGTTTAAAAAGGTTTTTATAATATGTAACATTAGATGAAACTAATAGAGGCAATTTATTAACCGATTTACTGTCGGGCATGTAAAGGACGAAGTAGCAACTTTAGGTTATTCATGCTATATTCAACGCTACCTGTTATACAAGAAATATATAAAAATACAGATATTCGAGTGCGTGTGGACAACTAGGCACCTGAAGAAATTAACATTAGGCCCAACTCACGTACAGCAACTTAAACGCTGCGAACTCTAGTATATATTATAAATCTCCAAAATATAGCGACATTATATTTTACCAATTTATTCATACATATTGTTATTGCACCGGGACAAGTATGAAAGAAATAGTAGCTGTAGATTTTAGGAAAAATTCTCATTTAATGTTTTCTTCTTATTCCGAACAGTTTAAAAAAAAATGTAGGTCTATAGAAGTAAGAGTAGCATTTGTTCTTAAAATAATAGTACAACTACTCCATTATCAATTTATTTTCACCGTAAGTTTAGGAATTAGCATTGGTATGCTTCTATTCTCCAGTTTATTTATTCATGGTTTTAAATTATGTTAAAGGAATTATTTTTAACTGTGAGTGGTAAATTTTTTAAATCTTCAGTTCATAATTTGTTGAGTTAAGTTTACATTTTTGACATATTCAAGGCAGATATTCATGTATGCGTTGGTTGACTAGTAAAGCTAGTTGCTTATCTATTTACGATGCCCACTTAAATGCGTTTAAACAAGGCATTTTATTAATTCTAGTCGTCACAATATAATGAATAAAAAGGCAGTGATTGTGCAAATAAATAGAATGTTCTGTAACATATGACACTGATTTAAAATAATTTCAAATAAAGAAGATTATGATTTCTTATTATCTAAATGAGTATACGATTTGATCATAAAATATAAATTAAAAATAACATAGCTTCAGTAGCTTCCTCTATATTTACTTATCCGATTCCAATTGAGAAATATTATAAATCACAATTATAAACTGTTTTGCAATAATTAATTAATAAAATATAGTGCAAATAATATTTTAAGCACTCAGTATTTAATATACATTTTGTGTGGTTTGCAATTGGAAAATTTCTTGTAAAAAAAATTTAAATCGCAATGCCATAATATGCTGAATAATACGAATACATAATGACTTATTAAATTCTTTTGATAATACGAACTGATGAAGGCAGTAACTAATTCATTAATAAAACTTCAAACATTTGCGCTGCATAGAACAAACCACGTCTCTATCTAGACTTGTAACACTTACATCACCCAAGTTATTCACATTGGTATCGTTGGCGTTACGTAGTCTAGATACACTACTCTGCATAGTAGTAAATGATATATAAATATATTGGATATTTAACAAATATAACCTCGTATGAAATATCGTATCAAAATCTTGCAAATATTTTTGACTTTTAATTTTCGCATTATTTTCCTGTCTTGGTAGTTGGTATTATCAGCGCAATGGTTCCGTAAAGTTACACTAAAACTAATTTACAAGTACACACACGTTGACAAAACCTAGACATTCAAAATATATGGTAGGCATATATTCAAACGTACCATAATATCAGTTAATCTAAGTAACAATGTTGCATTACCTAGGACCCCACGTGATATGAAATACACACCAAGTTGAGAACAATTGCTTTGAAATCGATAGCTGACCGATTGTTAACAAAACAAAAAGCGCTTTACGATTGTGACATGGCAATAATCGCGTGGAATCCCTTTGAGTTTATTGTTACTACTATTTGCGCGACCCTGCATTCATTCGAGTGATTCCCAACAAAATAAATTCCAAACAAGAGAAATTCAATCGGAATGTTTGTGTTAAGAATTGAATTTCTAAACAACATTTCGAACTCTAATGATGTAAAATTGGAAAATAAAATCGTTCAACAACAGTTCCTACAAGAATTGAGAAGTCACTCTTCACAATCACCGCTTCACATGCGAAAGTATAATAATTTAAAAAACTAAACTAATTTGACGTCGTCTAAGGCAGCGAGCAAGTCGTTTGTGCCTTGCATCATGTCCGATTCAGGCCAGAAATCTGTCACAGTCAGCGGCACGGAATTCAGAATCTGTATTTCAGGAGTGTGGAGAAACCCTGGGCTTGGCTGCATTTTGTTCGTGAGGTAGGGGTCACATCCCTTCATGACGCCCACGGGGGACATGATCCGGCTTCCTGGGCTATACTGTTGAAATTGTCCGACGGGAGACATAGATTGGGGAGTGGAATAAGGGCTCATGACACGTTCTCTTTGAGCGGGGCTTATAGCTGGACTGTTGTAACTATTAGGACTTGATGGTAAGGAGTACATGGGGCTGACATTTAGGCTCAACGGGGACATTGGAGAGGAGGTCATATTTGTGCGTAGAACATGGGGATTCATTTGTGTATTAGTACGTATCATTTGTTTGTTGGCAAAACCCTGTAAAACATTTATTACCGACAATGGGATATTATTCCTGCTTGGATTCTGGATGATAGGTTGCTGGTTCCCGGTCATCTGGTAATTAGGATGAAGTTGTTGAGGAATGTTCTGTGGTATCTTCTGTTGGATATCCTGTAAAACATAAAGTTTTCGATTAGTTTCTCGATTTATTGAAATTTCTTGTTGTTGTTTTATATAATATATTCCACGCGTTCTAGACAAGGTAGATCCATATATAAAGGTGCAAGTTTTATGTCGTATCGTAGGATATGTAATAGAGTATTTGCTTTAATATTGACTTTGAAATATAGATTTTCATTTGTAATTATATATCTACATGTAATACATATTACGTGAAGGCTTATTTCGATACATACACGTCATTATAGATCATGGAATGCGAAAGTTTTAAATGAGTACCTTTCATAGTGAAATAAATTATCATTTAATTTTTATTAGATAATATCGCAGTAAATATACATAAGTTGTAACAGCGTGACACTGAATTGAACACATATAAGCACGCAGATGACTTTCCCGCCTTTTGATATCCTGGCGAGGGTCTATGACCAGACTTGCGCGATCCGCCGGAGTGAGGGCGGGGAAGACCAGGACGAGCTCGAAATGCGGCGGAACTCTCACGGGAATGCGCGCCAATGCGCTGTCGGTGCTGTTCTGCCAAACTTCGAAGCTCGAGTAGGTAGGGAGGGTGGTCGCGTCACATAACGACTGAACGCAGGTACTCACTGGGCATGGTTCGTTTGGTGAGTACCTGAATCTGCTCAGCTGAATGGAATTCCGTCCAGCATATGCTGGAAGACTGCCCCGCGTGGGCGTCTAAACGCGAGGACCTAGTCGACCAAATCGGACGAGACCTCTCCCCGCTAGCAATCATTGCTGCCATGCTGGCGGTTGAGGAGGGCTGGGGCGCAGTTGTTTCTTTCTGTGAGGCTGTAATGCTCCAGAAAGAGACTCCTGAACGGGATGGGGAGAGGGCCGTTCCCGAGCGTATAGGGCGGGGCCGCAGGCTGCTAGAGAGTGAGGACCTCTGGTGGCAGATAGATTACTGCGGTAAGGGACACGGGGCGGCCTGATTGCAGCAAAATGCGATCGGGCTCCTAGATTGAGTGATAGACGGGGGAAAGCTTCTGGCTTCCCTCAGGATAGGGCCCAGTAGGTGCGGCGTCGATCCGGGGGGGACCTGAAATTACATGCTCCGGGTCCTCCCTAGAGTAGGGCGCCTAAGGCCGGCCGTCAGGGTGGTTTTTAGTGAATACACCACATACTCCTTGCTCCTGCGTGTCCTGGGGGCCGGAGATCCAAAGGGATTATAAACCCGGTCACAAAAAAAAGGCACACAGATGACTTTTTTTGCGTTTTAACAAATACGTGTGATGTGCATACATCATTTATGTCACGATTTAAATAAAGAAAACAGAAATACATATAAATATAATCGAGGATAGATACAATCGTCGTAGGCGAGTATGTATTTAATTTTTGCTTGTAGTACATATCGTTCACTAAGTTAACCTAATATTAAGAACGATATTATTTTCAAGATTCACGTCATATTGGTGCATTGCGGTAAAGAATGGTATTCATCAGTTAATGGAAAAAAACATAAATAACCTGGTATCATAAGTTCACACGTTAAATGTTTTGTTTGTCACTGGCTGTTGTTATATCATTTTAATAAGTATACGTTTGCGATGCGGGCGTCTAAACATTATATTCGCTGTTTAAATTTATTAAACCATCTGTTCCGATTCATATAAATTTAATAGCTATTAGTATTGTACTACAAATCCTGGTGGTTTTGTTCAATGGTGACTTTCTTTGTCAGTATTACGAATTGGTGTAATGACCAGCAATTGGAGGAGTTCATGATCATCAATAGGAGACTTCTAGTAGAATGGTCCCTGAACTGTCTTAATAAACGACAATTGAAACGGTGTAGGGAACCCTTGTGTATGATTTGTTTCAATTCTGTTAATCATTCATATTTAAAGTTACTACTAGTAGATCTCCAGTCAAAGTATGAGCAGAACTCATCTGTTTTAATTAATACTAGCTGACTTTTAAAAGGAATAAATTTTCCTTCTTTTTGCAACATTTTTCGTGGATGCACAGCTGCTATTGGTCGTAGCGTGATTATTATATACCCTATAGCCTTTCTCGATAAATGGGCCAGTCAACATTAAACGATTTTTTAAATTCGAATCAGTAGTTCCCGAGATTAGCGCGTTCAAACAAACTCTTCGGTTTTATGATATTAGTAGACTAGCTGGACCAAAAAAAATTAAAACAAATAGTTCCTTTGCTGTTCTTAGATTTTTATTACTATTTTTTAACTAAACTATGTTTTGTTTCATAGTAATTTATGTAAATCTCTATGCAAGCATGTTGTTATTGAAATTTATTGACGTTTTATCTGAGAATTTTCACTGTTTGACGATTAATGTATGGTCGTTGAGATTACCAAATTGCTTATGAAACGTTAGCACTTACGTTTGTTTCATGACTTAATGCAACATTTAGTCTTTAACGACATGGTGTTATAAGCTCTTTGTCTACTGCAAAGAGGGGTACTTATGACCACACATTTACATGAAATTTACTTTCACTGCTATTATTGCATTCATCGGGAATGCGCCATGCAAATTAATATTTTGATGAGAATGCATAAATAACTGACTAGGGTCACTAAACTAGACTATCAATATAATATTTGAGGAATGAGACCTCCTAGTGACTAGCAACCTTATGTGTATATGAGGTGGTATTGTCCAGCATTTCACACACGGTCTTCTGATCCCAAAATAGGTAGAGCCTATGGTAAGACGACTGCTGATAAACATACATGTTTATTTCTAAATATCTACATTATTGAATGTTCGTGGATATGACACAATATTTGTCCTGGTAGGGAATCGAAACCACGGCCCCTGGCTTTGCAGGCAGGTTCACTAACTATTGAACTAATCATCGTCCTCATCATCAACAGCATTAATAGTCCGCTGCTGCACATAGGCCTCTGCTTACAAAGGAGTTTGTATAGGTTTGGTTGGTAAAGGGTTTGTTCCAAGATTTCCTTCACTTTGCAGTGCTCTTGTCCTGCAGAAATTGCTTAATCTGCCACTACACAAGCAACAGGCCAGTCAAAAACAAACTTGTTTTGCAACTAAAAAACACGTGTCAATAAATTTGATAAACAAAATCATTAAAGACAGAGATATAACTATACGAAGCTCGATATACATTTACATTTTATCTTACGTAAACAATGTCAAATCATTTGTTTCAATGAAGGCTATGATATGAGGTAAAGCACAGATTACCGCACAAGCAATAATTGGAGCATCCGTTGTATTCCCGAAGCTTATCCTATCTGCGGGATACTTTACTTAGGGTTTAAAACAGGGCTGCTCGAGTGGAAAATCATAGTCAGGAATAACAATCTACGATACACAAAAATGCAAATACCTAAATTCTAAACAAGATAGTGAAACAAGTAAAATAGACTGAAAAAGATAGTGAAAAAGTAGATTTTAAAAACTGTATAATGTGTTCTCAACAATTGAGATGTCGCTTATTCTCCTCTATATATTATTCTCCACTATACAGAGCGCTAGTAATGCGATTTGCTTTTTTTTGTACGATTTGAAATCCATTTACATTAAACCGCTTTTATATTATTATTTCTAAATTTCTATTAAAGATTTGTTTACTATGTAGATTCTGCAACTTCGATCAACGCGTAATGTCTGGAATGTTCTTTGTGAGTATCACAGTCGTTGATCTTAGTGGACGCCGCAAATGTTGTAGTACAACAATTCAAAAGGAAAAATAACGAGACATCTGAAGTCTCGGCGTCAACAGCCATTTTATGGGAGTATCCTATCTGCGGACGGTCATAACGCTCCGGGGCACGGCTTACAAGGGATTTTTCTTTTACTTATTGCCCTTACAACTTCCACAAACAATTTCATCCCAAGAGAAAAACTTATTTTAACTTAAGACTTCTACACTCGAAGAAAATTACTAAACAGAGAGATGAGGGCTTTCTAAGCAAGTACTTTTGGACACTAGTATTTAAATGAAAATAGAGAGATTGTTTATGTAATATGTGGAAATATTCATTGGTCTATAGTATTCCGTAATAGTGGAAAGTATTTACTGCGATTATTACAAGAGAAAACAAAAATAGTCTTATTATACATAGTTTCAGTAAATTAGTTTCGTAGCATACCGATACTAATAAATTAAAATAATACATACTCGAAGTTTAATTATCTTTAAATTGTAAGACCACGTGCATGGTAACAAACGGGTTTTCATAGTTATACGTCGTGAATGTAATTTTCAACTTTAAATTATGCAAATGTATGATTCAAACTAGAATAATGTTATTTGTCTAGGTATAGCATACCAGAATAGCAAGATTTTGAAAACTTTGTTCTATTTTGATTTTCGCGTTCGTTTAATAACAAGTTAATAACTGAGGAATATTTTAATAAGTTACAATTTTCGTTCAACAAATTCGAATTTAATAGAAATAAAGCTATCAAACAATTTTTATAATTTTGAATACTATGTGTGTATTTTTTTTTGTTCTCTACGTTTCTTCAGAAGTAGTGTTTCAATGTTAATAAAAGCTAATACTCCATACACTAACTACTGCTAAAATAATTTGGATTCGACTGAGGATTGGTTTGTGGTTCTATTAACTTTTTAAAACAATAAAAATATAAAGCAACATACGTAAGGTCACCTTATCTCTGCTGAACAACGCTTGTAGCCGTTTTGATTAGAAATGTTTGTTACTGTAAATCACGTTTCAACCAATCCACAGTCTGGGAATTACTAGGAAAGGGTATCAGAATAAAACTTGCACCTTTTTATCAGAACTATCATTTTTTCTCTTCTTTATTATCAGATATTTTCTGTCAACTTCATAATATTTATTTCTCTCATGAAAAATATTTAACTCTCAGAGTTACATATCATCCACACATATAGGCATTATAATTTATTTTAATAACAACGATGATAATGTATGATATCTATGTATAATATGTTACGTCTTTCATTTTGATTATATATCTCTCGAGATCAGATTCAAAATGTCAAATGTTAAATTTTAATTAAATTACTTTCATAACGATAATTACTACAATATTTTTTTTCAGAAAACAAGATGGAACACGTTTTCGTATGAACGGACCAAACAATCAATTAGATTCAAATTTAAACACATAGAACAAACAAATCAGTAGCCACACTATTAAAAAATACATTTGACCTTTTGGCACTATTTCTGAGGTTTATAAAGACGATGACATTTGCGAAGCATTTACTAAATCTAAATTCCGAGTATATTATTATCCGGTAGTATATTTATTTAGTGAATTTATTAATTTCAAGACTGAGTAGTATGCATTATGCTCATTTTAATGTAGTCATCCAAATGCTTAATAGACGAACGAAATACCGTAGTAGCGGCAATTCACTATCTAGTGGGTGTGGTAGTTGGCAGGTGCGAAAGCGTGCACCAGACATTCACTTTTACCATTTATATCTATTTTTCGAGTCCGGTAACATCATCGCCAGTAAATGGCCCCATACAACCAAACTATACGTTTTTCTAAGTTGTACTTTGTATCATTAGGCAGTGAAAACTTTTTAGACATCCATAGGCTGTCACATCATTCAAGGGTTGCCGGGGATTACAACGTACTACGATAAACTCTGAATAGAATACATAACGATCTAAACAATATTTCTAAAATATGGTCTGACTAAAATTTATCGACCTAGGTAAAAAATTGTTTAAAAAAAATACACGTAACTTATATTATTAAATAAATAGTAGTAACCACGACGTACAAGTTCATAATAAATCTATAAAAATTGACTCGGTTCGAGCTATGAACAAACGGGTTGCACAGCGTGCCCCAACACTCCTAACCAACCCACGTCACTGGATACAGAGGCTCACGGTACCTTAATAACCTAGGAACGATTCGACCGATTCATCACATAACCAACACGATATGCGCACGTTTAACTTAAGCACTAAATTCAAGAATAACTATCGATTGCTTTAAATATATCAAAAAGTAAATAAAGCACTGGTTCACTTAACCGCCTAAAACTAAACATATTCTGGTGTCGCGAGCACAAGACTGAATCACTGTGGAAGATTAACTAGTCAGGCCTAACGTTAAGACGAGGGGATCGTCTGGCCTGACGGTTAAATTGCCGTGGCTTTATTCGACTTTAATCTGGTACCCAACACTTATTGTCTCATAGGATTCTGATTACAAATTTGATGCGACTTTCAGTCAGATACTGGTACATATGTAAACGGTAATATCACATGTATCGACGGTATTGTACTTAAACATTAATTCGTATTAAATCCGACCAGAGGAAGTCTGTAAGAAGCACTGAAATTGTTTCCTAGGGGTTTGCTTGAATACTGGACGCGCATTATCACAGTTTAATTTTTTATGAGAGTGTAGCCTCAAGCCTTTGCTTTCTGTCGGGGCCGGCATTGCACCATGCAGATGTAGCCGGCATCGACGTCACATCCGCTCACCAAGAGGTTCATGAGGACGCTGGATGATGGGTTTGAGGGGGGTGCTGTCGACACGGGTGAAGGGCTTCGTTTAGCACGTTTCGCGCATGGTTCCTGTTCTTGTTTCAACACCCTTTTCACGCCTGTGTCCCATGTGGGGACGGTCCTGCTTGGTATTAGGCCTGATGACAGATACAGCGAAATTAAAGAAAAAATATTAAAAGGTTTTATATATTTAATCATTTATTATATATTTAAGTTATATACCTGGGTCTGAGTATATATTTGTTAAGAGGTCCTGTGGCGGTGGCCCTGTGGTGGAAGCCGTCAGCAAGCGTTGTAGTGCTGGTGCAGACGTCGTTGTTTGCGTCTCCGTAGGTTGAGGTCTAGCTAGACTAACGCTGTCTGGTAAAGCTCCCCACATAACAGCTGGTTCCAAAACTGCTAGCTCATCATTTGTGGGGATAAAAGGTGAATTTCCATCCTCAATATCATTATCTGACCTGTTGCTGTCAAACGCGTCTAGTGACAGTTCTGTTAACAAAGACGATTGTTCGCACGATGAATCGTTTTCCTGAAAAGGAATTTTATGCTAAAACTCTATCACACAGTTCAAAGGGATGTCTACGTCTAATAGGCAACACTTTTTTTACCTGTGGTTCAGGCGAAGATAATAGCAAAGAGTCTGGAGTCAAGTCTGGTGACCCGGTAGCCAAATCGTCGGTCAGTAGACTACAATAGTTATCGCTCAAAATAAAATCATCAAACATGTCAAAAGTGCTGTCCTCCAGAGGAATACAAGCATCGCCTGCAGTGGGTGCTAAGTGCGTCAGATCTTCCGGCTCGTCTTTAAGCACTGAAACCAACAAAATCTTTATTATCACGTTCAAATTTCGATATGACAAAAACGTAAAACATAAAGCAACAACGAATACCTAAGCTGTGGAAGTTCGAAAGCCACTCACTTGTACGGCCCTGGTCTGGGGTGAATATAAGATAGCCCTTGTTCATTTCTTTCTTTCGCGGAGCGAATATCAGCTCAGTGACGGGTATGGGACGTTCCTCCTTGGGTGGAATAATGGCGACTATATCACCGTTGGCTGGTGCCTCCACAGACACAGGCAGGGGCACTGGCTGAGGCACCTGCACGATTGGTGCCACGGCGGGCTTCAAATCGGCGTGCTGCACCTGGTGTGCGGCGAACACCTCATCTTTGCACTCGATACCACTGTAACAGAACACTTAGGATAGGAAACAATGCCCGTGCAGGCAAAGAGATTTGCACATTACATGATGATATTACATTATTAGGTGTCATGGTCTACCGCCTTTAAGTGTTTCATTTCCGTGTGTTTAACACGTAAATCAGGTACATCAAACAAGTGCCTTAGTATAATAGACTATAATGTAAACTGCACGGTTATTAGTCAAGAGAGAATCAAACATTCCAGAGTTAATCGGTTTTGTTTACGTATAAAGAAGTTTGAAGTGTGAAGTGAACATCGTGCTATACAAATGGAATAGTTAGAACATATTGGCGCAAGCGGTATTAGTTATACAATGACAAGTAATCAGTAAACAATATCCAAGGTTAGATATTGACGAGCTCTGCTCTATACTTAGATGGATAAATATATGTAAATTCCACCTTATTTAATGAAACGATTTTTCATAAACACCTAGTACCTAAACACATTGAAATAAATAATAAACGTTTATGTATTATATGCCTCATACCTACGAAATGCATACAGGAAAAATTATGTGTATATTGTATTGTACAATACTTGAAAGAAAGATTATTTTCAAATTATAAAGCAAATATTCACGATATTCACGAAATATTTAAAATATAGATAGTATAGAGGTTGATTCTATTTTCTAACATACCTTTGCAAGTTTATCGAAAACAATAAAAATGAAATGCATAAAAAAATGCATAAAAAAATAAGCTACAAAAACTAATGAGTGCTGACGAATAGAACAAGCGTTTGATTTTAAACGCGTCTAAATCCCGTTGGACAAACAAATGCAAGCAATACCTAATAACGAATTAATCAAAATGAACGCGGCCACATGGATTCTACATATTAGGGTTTAATTAATGAACGTAGCCCTAGAGAGATAACCTAAGGATTGGCCCTGTGAGATCCATTTACGTCAATGCGTCAATGTTATCAAAATCAACGTTGATACAGATTCGTAAACGTATTTACGATAAATTGTTGTTGACTGTCAGGGTTCAAGTTTTCATCGATACTATAAATAACGCGATTAAGGGAAAATACCAACATGTTAAGATTATACACACTAAATTAGTGATGTACTCGTAACTACAAAATGTTAATACAATTGTACTACGAGTATGTTTTACTTAAAAGGGAAGCAAGTTCTTTCCGATAAATTATTTTAACCACATAAAATTTGCTTTTGTCATCTCTTATCGTGTCACTTAACAAAAATGTCTCCTACTCTAGACAATTTATCGCAAGACACATCTTGGAAAGTGTGTTTGGTTTGAACGGGGCATTTTCGCGTAATTTCAAGAGAACGAGATAGCTGGATGAGATAAGTAAAAAATAGAATGAGATGTATTGACGATAGTAAGAGCTGTTTTCCTAACGACCTTGCACTCAACCCCTCAACACCCCACCACCCTTGTTTTCTAGACCGGCCATTCACCAAGAGAGCGGTGAAGGGATGGTTGCGCGCGCAACACAAACACGAGGTTCGGTCCCTATCGATTGCCGACTCTAGATTATTATATATATTATGTATTCACCTTAACTCTCTTAACAGTGTATAAAGGTGCAATAGAGAGTTGAGCAGTAAAACTTACTAATGATTAAATCAAGAAATAAGTTACAAACAATTTCAGTCATGATTTAATATAATTATTTATAATTTTTACGAGACACTTCGGTACTTTAACTTATCGTGGAAGATATTAAATGGGCAATGTACATATTAGATTTTTTTTTAATAATGTAAATATTTAAAGTCACGTAACAACTTCACCTAAACCTGAAACCGCAATAAAAGTGATAACCCGTCATTATAACATACCAAAATAAAAGCAACATTGTTTGAAATAGACTAGATAGTATAAGCGATGAAACTGTCTCGTGTTGCGTAATTTCAAGATATAAAGAATTGAGAGCAGCTGTTTGAGTGACCTTGGCCGTGATACCGTTCAATGGGCATCGCAATTCACCAACTTCATCTGCCACGGTCGAGGTCAACTAATGACGTGTCTCATATTTGTACATCACTGAATCACATTAATTTAATTAAATATTATATAGCACAATCATAAAATTATGTACTAAGAATTTGAGTAAAAGGAATATCGCGAAGTCTTCACTACAGCCGTATCTGAAAATTATATTAGTTATTGGTGACTAGGTAGATAAATACAGATGACTGTATGGTAACGAAGATTGCGTTTTTTTATACTTGGTATAAACAACATTAGCTCTGATACAGATAAAAATAATAATGGAAACTAGACGATAACATTACCGATAAGGACATGCTTATTAATATACAACAATATATGATATGGGTGCGTCGTTCAGGGGATCATAAAATAATCATGCTTCGTTGGCCCAAACACTAAGCTCAAACTATGTGTTGTGAACGTAAAATTGCAAGTCACTCAACGGACCACACCGTTTGCACTCAAATAAACATGAAATACTATACAAGTTTCAGTTAAAAAATAAACAGAGCAATGTTAGTATATGAATGTAAACAATTTAACTGTGTCAAAAGGTTATGAATGCTACAATGCAAGTTATCGATGTTATAGATCCCAGTGAGCGGTTAAAGCAAATAGAAGAATCAGCAGATCGTTTTCTGCCAATCGAGAACCGAGAGATGCGACGCGGGAGTCAAGGCCAACAATCGTTATATAACTAGTGTGAAGCGGGGGACGAGGACGGCTAATTTTAGCGGATCATACACAACAACACTGACACATCCAGCACAGACGCATTTACTTCAGATGTGCCGTAAATGCAAGTCTATCAAGTATGATACGATACGCAAAACAACCTGAAGCATTAGACAAATTAAGATTTTTATTAGACGACCCGGACTCTGTAAACGCTTAGTTACCTATCACGACAAACCACACGTTTCTTAGAAACTATCGATTGTCACAAAATGAAGGTAGGCTCAATATCATGTAAGTAGAACGTTAAATGAATATTGAATGCATTCGCACGTCTAATCGCACGTCGAATTTTGGATGGAAAAGTTTATATTAAATACAATAAATACATCGAAAGCTTCAAAGAAACATTATCACTTTCAGCGGCACCGTTATGAATGGCATTAGTGGATTTAACTTGATATTAAAACACAATACTGAAATACGAGAATTATACAAGTACACAGTCACTGTTTGCACTAATCACAGACACAAAATATCACTGTTCCTTACCATGTTGCGATAAATCGATTTGAACGTGTTGTCAAACAACTATGTGTAATGAAATGCTCCGGTTTGCGTGTGTACTGTGAACAGCTGATCGGGGATTGAGAGTTCGTGGGGCGGTAGGGTGGCCGCGTAGGGTGTACGCTAGCGACGAAGTCTGTAGCACGAATGATACGCGGCGACGACGGCGGCGCACTCGTGACGCTACTCACCTAAACACATACACAGCCGCGCGATACCGACTAATGATAAATTTTTGAGGATAGTCGGTGTTTATTCTACGGACATGCGACATGTAATCGACTTCACGAATTAGTAGGTCTGTAGACCTAGTGATTCGTGAACGACAGAACTGATGGCCTGGACGTGATCGACGCTACAGATACCGCCGATCACGTCAAGTTACAAGTTACAGGCGTGTTATATTCGTATTTAACCTATTTATATATTTATGAGTATGTGGCGATATCGATATAATCAGGTCTACAATGGTTTTCACGTCTCAGTTTTGATGATTGATTTGGATAGATTTTGGGGCCCTGATTACGGAAAAAAATATTTAAAAATTCCATCACGTCAGGATTATTAGTTATTTATCATTGTGTATTTTTGGCAAAATTACTCAGAAGGCCTGAGTAATTTTGCCAAAAATACACAAGGCCTAGTCATAAATTAATATATTATTTTAATCCTTTATTATTAAACAATATATTATAGTTAAAAAAACTAAAATTCACGCTTTTGTAACTAGCCGAACTAAAAAGAAAAATTAATTTTCTATAGGTTCAAAAAGAACAAGTCATTTTGTCGTAACAATACGTGGGGTGCTAGTTCTCAATTATTGTTAAAAATATTTTATTGAGATATTGGTGAAAGTAAAGTTATTATATTATAAAACACCTTGAAAAGCATCCCACGCTTTTTTACGATACACTGATTTTTCTTTTTGAAAATTTATCATATTATTGTATTCTCATCAGTCCGTGATAAATGTGCGAAGTTTCAATTTAATTCGACTTTTTAAAGTGGGTCAAAATCAAGTTCGAAGATTACATTTCATGCATACCATACTAATTAAAGCGTATTAAAAACACACTGAATGGTTGGGCTGATGCGCACCAAAATACCCCAAGATGAGCATCCATATCCAAAAGGGGAAAATAAGAGTTAAAATTTGCAAACCTATGGATCTTTTGAGTACTCTTGTTCTTTTCAATGTTGTCCAATATTATGTTTTGACTTAGAATGTACCATTACGTAATGAGCATTTATAGTAGTTATATAAATAGTAGCGTGTTATTCATTGAATAAGTTCAGGAGAGCTTATTTTGAGAACTGTGAGCTCCCAGGTCGTTGAACCAAGACAGTTCTGAACGAGGTCATTTCCTACTGGACTTTTACTGGAAGTACAAACATTTAATCCTGTACTGTCATTGTTATAAGTTTAATTAAACATTATCGTATTTATTTATTGTTTATCAGCATGCAACGAATAAGTTAGGATATTTTTATTGCTGCTAAAAGAGACCTTCTATGTCTCTCTCGGCAATTATTGACTTTAACTCAATGTTCGCAATCGTGTTTACTTCATCAAATGAAATTTGTGCACCTGAAACTTTAACTTTAAATTGTTCGTAATTGAATGCCAAATAGTTATATTGTTATTAGATTAATTTTATATATGAATTCTTACTTATTACTTATATATTTACTTATTTATATTATATATAATACTTATTTATACATATATATATATATATATATATATATATATATATAAAATATAA